GCACTTCTGTCATACAACCAGACTCGGGGATAAATGAACATGCATTAAATGTAATTTAATCCATCCAAGTAGCAAGGCCAAAATTAGAAACCATTAGAAAGACAAAGCCAAAGATAAGGAAATGCAAATTCACTGCACCACAATGGTGGGTTTTAGTTCAGCTAAACCAAAACCAAAGCTTCCCCACCCAGGGCATGGGAACTCTGTGCTCATCTCCACCAAGGAACCTGGAAGCACTTCCCACGACCTAGCCAGACCTGCCAGGGCCCTGCTTAGGACATGGGCATTCCCCAAGAACCCCTCACCCAGCAGCCCAGGGGCTCCTCCAGCACCCTCCAAAATACACATCCCTCAACTGCAGAGGCTCCAGTTTCCAAGTCCAGGCTCCAGTGCCACTGTTTCTGTAGGACAGAAGTGGCAGGAAAACAAGATTGTGCACAAACCAGCAGTTCCAAGTGCCTCCCTTTTCCCTGCCCAGTGTCCCTTACTGTCCCTTTCCAGAGCTTCCTTCTGACCCCGACAGGCCCAAAGAGCACTCAGCACAATGACATTTTCACTGTTCCTAAACACTGGCATCTCTCTCCAGCTTTTTTCTTTTTTTTTTTTTTAATAATCCTTAAAATATATCAACTGAAAGCCATCCATAGTTCTCTCAAGACCTACAATCTTCCACTGCAAAGTCTCACATAGCAACCATCCCATGACATGTTAACCACAGAGATGACAGATGGGGTATTAAGAGCACTCAATCTAAACCACCTTCCTCCCTCCCTGTTCTCAGGGGGCTCCACCATAACCTTTTACTTAACTGTGCTCAAACTTGCACTCAGAAGGAGATCAGGTTGCTGAGTTGCAGAATTATTTGGGCTGGAGGAGATCCCCAGGAGAGCATCTAATCCCACCTCCAACTCCAAGCAGGGTTAGCACCAATTTCAGAGCAGCCTGAGCCAGGCTTTGTCCAGCTGTGCCTTAAAAGCCCCAAGGATGGAGGCTCCCCCCACCTCTCTGGACAACCTCTCCCACTGCTCAGCTGTCTGAAGAAGGAAAACTTTATCCTTCTTTATCCCAAGGCAGAAACTCTTGTTATCTCATCTGACAATCACTGTCAATCCTCCTGTTATGCACCTCTTTGATAATCTGCTCTTTGGTATTCCAGAGCCTCCTCTTGTCCCAACCAAACCACCCTGACTCCATCAGCCTTCTCAGGGAAGATTCAGTATTAATTTACTCAATATTTTTTCCCAGGTGAGACAGAGACTCCCTCCAGGCAGTGAGACAGCTCTAGTCAGGTTTTGCCATGACTCCCCACTGGTTTGTTCACAGGGAAACTGGGGAATAACCGAGTTTGTCCCACACTGATGTATGGAGCACACCCTCTGCTTACAGAGTGCAAGGATCACATTCCCACTGTAACTATTTTTGAGGGGTATCAGGTGGCACTTTCTAAATCAGCTTGTTCATCACAGTGCTGACCAGCGACTGGGAGAGTGAGACTCTGCCAGGCTGGCACAGAGTGAGGCAGGACTGGGGATAAGCTGTGGAGGGATGAGCCCACCACAGCTGCTCAGGTGGGTGTTTCTCAGCTCAGAGCCCACCTGCAGGAAAGCATGAAGGACATGGCAGGGATCAGTCCCTGCCCAGGGCATCCAACACGGTCCTGGCTCCCAAAGCAAAGCCTCTTCTGCCTCCTGGGAGCAGCAGCCTTTGGTCGACATCAGGATTGCATCCCTCTGGATCCAGGTATATGATATCAGTGCAGCTACTCTTGGCAGCCAGTGCAAAAATCTCATTCAACCCACAATTTGAGGATTTTTGGGACATGATCTGCTTTCCATCAGAGCACAGGGATCGCTGAGCATGCTCCTTTAATGTGACAGAGGTTGGTCTGCACTGCCTGCTGGTTACCTGCTCCCTTCTCCATTTTAAAACACTGCTATAACATTTATGTTTTCCCAAACTTCTAGAACTCCTTTGGTCTTCCCAGATTCATTACAAATTGGCAGCCAGGATTCAGAAAGCTGCTTTGCCAATTTGTTTTAAACAAACAGGTCCCACTGTTGCTCAAGTTTCAAAAGACTTTGAAATGTTATCTTGGGTTTAACACCCTCCCTGGTTACCAGTGCAACAGGAGGTATTCCGAGAGAATATCATCCAGCTTCTCCACAAACACGGGAAATAAATGTTTTACTTCTCTGCATTGTTATCAGCAATCAGTGGGGTTTGACCTTTCCCAATAATATAAGCACCGCTGATGAAACTCATTTTGTTTTACAGACATTAAAATATTTCTCACTGCCCCATGATATATTTGCTTTGCTTTTCCAGTTATCTTTAGCTTTCCTTATCAACTGCCTACCTTCAAAAATACCGACTTTACAGTAACGGGTCCTTATCTACAACCTTTGTTTTGCAAATTGCTCATAGTTGAGGCCAATTTAAAAGCTAAAACATGATTACTGGGGCAAGCTCTTTGCAAAACTAGAAGAGAAGCAAATCCTTTCAACAGAGCTGCACGGAGCACCTGAACTGCGGATTTTTGCAAGCGTGGAAGCCAAACTCCAAGAGAGTTCAGTGAAAATCAAACCAGAAACAGGATTTTGGAACATCTACTAATTGAGCTGCCCATCTAGTCTCCCTCAAACCACCACAAATGCTAATATTATCAAAAGCTACATTTTATGAGTTTTGCAATCTCTCTTCATATTTGTAAAAATAAAACTCAGAGCACCTGTAGCTGGCAAAAAGCCCCTGCCCTTTGCTTGAGGAGCACTATGGGCTCTGCTCCAGTGGAACCAAAAAATGTTAATAAAAATGAAAAGCCATGCCCTACAGCCAAAGGAAGATACCAGACTTGAAAAAGCTTTTCCAATATCAGAAAGAAGTATAACTTCTCATCCTTCACTGCATTCCACAGACTGCAATAACCCCATATACCAAACTGCAGTGAGTGGGAAGTGCTCCAGCCCTCCCAGAGCATCCCAGGAGCCAGAGGGGACAATACAGGCTGTGACCTCAGTGGGCACCATTTCTGCAGAGGCTGAGCACAACCCCCAGCCAAGGCAGCCACGTCTGGGTACACACAGCTGTTGCATTTGGCTTGAGCAAACTTTGTTTACGACCCAAAGAGGTTTTAAAGTTTAATTTATGAAGTGCCTGGCAGAGATGGGAGCAGTGAGTGGCAACACTCACAAACCACCTGAAACACAGCACCAAGCCTGGAGACTCCAGAGAGGATTTCCAGGCAGGTCCAACCATGTTCCACCGGCTTTGCTATTTACTAGTACAGCTCTGCAAGATAAAATTTAACTTCCCGTGGAACAGGGATGAAGTTGCCATTAATTAAACATTCCAGCAAAATACCTACCACAACCAGAGACAGCTCAGAGAAGATCTTTGCTTACCACAATGTATTTCAAGCAATCAAAGCAAATGTTCTGCTTATAAACAAAGGAAAAACCAAGAACACAGAAAAAAACTCGAGCAGCATTTCACAGCTTGGGCAAGGCAAAATGACCAATTCTGATTTAATTTTCTTGAGACAACAAGAAACAGAAGCCCACAGAGATGTAATAAGATTTAGCAATTACACATAAGGCAGGTAGCAGCAGGAAAATCGTGGTATTGTTTGAGGCAAAGAGAAGAGGAACAGGAAAGATGAGAAGGGAAAAAAGAAACACGTAAAACAATGATGCCTAAACTAAAAAATAAGGATCCCATTTACCTCTTTTCCATATTGAAAATGAACTGAAATTAAAAAACAACAAATTAAAACTGAGGAAATGAAATTCCACAGCATACCATGTGCATTGAGCCTCTGGGACATATTGCCACAGAGCAATGTGGGAGTAATTCAATAAAATATTGGAAGTAGATCTCCATAATAAGAACATCTGCGATTCCATTAACAGAGTGAAAGAGAGCACACTGGAGATAATTTTCCTCTAGCCAAGCATAAGCAAACCAGTAACTGATGTGACCAGAAAGTTATCTCCTGCACGGGCAGGTTATCCCAGAGCTGCCTGCACTCAGGCTCTGGGGCTCTCCTGTGCCTCTGATAACGTGGGTGCATGAGTAGGTGGGCTGTGATCCCAGCCAGTTTGGCAAGCTCTGCCTCTGTGGACAGAGATCACATTTCAGTTTTCAGCAGCTTATTGTGCAGCTTCTCAAAAAGAGAAACAACATTACCCACCTTTTATTTTTTTTTTTTAAAGAGGTTATCCTCTGTGACACAAAACGAGCAGATGAAATTTCAGCCAAACCTATTAAAGAAATACCTGTGGAGCAGTGAGCAACCCTGGAACACTCTTGGTGGAAACACAGCTATTTTGGAAAGTTCTCAGCACCTGAAAAAATGGGTTTACTGAGGAAATAAGATTTTATCTGGAGGGGCTGCTACCAGAGAGTCCCACGGTTAACCCTAACAATGAGGATTCTCAGGACCACCTTCCTGCATATTCATAATCCCATTTTCAGGATAAATGGGAACCTGAGAAAGCTGAACAGTGACCAAAATTGCAGTAGGTGCTTCAGGAGGGGCCGGGCTCTGCCTGTCCTCAGGAGAAGAGGTGAGTGAGCACGGGAATGTTCCCCCACAGACCCGTGTGGGCAGGAGCTGCTGGGGCTCAGGGGACAGGGGCACATTCCCCAGTGTCCCACTGCCAGCTCCAGCTTGTGCACATCTGTCCCAGCCTCAGCCCTGGCACATCTCAGCAGCACCTCAGGGCTCCAGCCCTGCACAGGCTCCCCGAGAGCCCCAGGAAGCCCAGCCAGCAGCACCTCTGTGCCCACACAACAGCCTGTACATCCCTGAGGGAATTCCCACCATGTGTGAACCCTCCCAGACTGCAGGAGGGGAGGTGGGGTGCAAAGAGCCACCCTATGCCTACACCTTCACTCCCAGCAAAGCCTCCAAAGGCTTTATCCAAGGACAGAAACAGGAGGGGGAGAAGGGAGAGAGCTGACACCAAGCCGAGAGCCAGGTTGAGCTGGAAGGAGCCTACCTGCCTCTGCCAGGGCCTGCTGAGCACTGCTAGGTCTCTTTGGAACTCCACAGGTTGAGCCAGGCTGTAGTTTCGACATTCCTTGCAACTTTCCACCAGCACACACATGATATGTTCAAACTTGAGTAACTCCTCCCTCCTCCCTCCCTCCGCACACACAGACAGGCCCAGGAGATGGCCCTGCCTCTATCATCCCAGTTCCTATAGCAACTCCTGACCCAGCAGATGGAAACAGAGCTGTTTTCTAGGCAAATCTGCCTTCTTGGATTCCTCTGCTCTTCCCTGCTGTTGGCCCCTCCTTGCTCCAGTGCTCTCCCTGGGGGCTGCTCCGCTGGCACCTGGCCCAGACTTTGCCTGGAGGAAGGCCAAGCTTTGAATTCATTTAGTAAAACCACAACATAAAGCAGCTCTCCTGCTCAGGAAGCAGGGCCCGTGTAGTCCCAGGGGCAGGCCAGGCACCGCAGAGCCAGCCTGCACCTCCTGCTTTAACAGCGCCCACCAGGAGGGTCCAGCAGGAACATCCTCAGCTTATCCTTCCCCTCCTGGGCCGTCCATGAGGAAAGACAAAAAGCAACAGAGCTAGGCACTTGTTAGCAAGTCCAGCCAACAGAATTATTATAACCCTGGGCACTTCTCAGACATTTGGATTTCTGCTTCCAAAGTCTTTCCTGGAAGAAGGAGAGCCCAGCTGTGACACCAGGGCTCTCTGCATGTTCATCACAACAGCTCACCCCACTGCTGTCCTCAGGTCAGGGCCCCACAGCAGTGCAGGTCACCAAAGCAGCTGTCTGAGAACAGCACATCACATTCAGTACCTTTGCTCTAAAAATACGGAAATTGAGGGAAAACAAAATTCAAACCAGGCTGTGGCATTTCAAGGGAGATAATTACCAAGGGTGACAGCTGGAATGTCATGAGCAGGTGGCTCCATGGTGACAGCACAAGCAGGACTGCAGCAGGACACACTGAGCTGGGCACAGGGCCAGCAGGTTGTGACACTGAGACCACCCAAACCCACCAGAGGGGCTACAAAGCTGCTCTGCAAAGCCCTTCCACCCCAGCACCCACTGCCATCCCTGCCCATGTGGGCTCTGCTGCCCTGGAGGGCACAGCAGGATGGGGCCACGCTCACATGGGTGAGAAGGGCACTGGGATACAGCCCCAGCAGGAACCACAGCAGCACAGGGAGAGCAGAAGGAATGTGCTGAGCCTGCCTGTTGGGAAATGCAGGTGCCAGCCTGCCTCCTGCAAGGGAAGGGCTGCAATGTCTCACTCACACACCTGGCAGGGGCAGGACTCCTCCCAGCAGAGCTGGGCCGGGAAGGGATGCCAGCATTGTACAGGGCTCACAGGGACTCCACAGCAGAAGGGTGAAGAGAGGGCACAGCAGCCACTCAGCCCATCCTGCAGAACCCCACAGCTACACCAGCTTCCAGCAGGAATCCCAGCAAAGCCTCCACAGAAGCAGCGAGTATTTTGGGTATCCCAAAGAAAAAAATGAAGCAGACACAAAGCACGCTGTGCCCATACTAAGTCCCAACTGGAAAATACAGCTGTGACCTGCAAGATGCAGTCAGATGCCACCCTGCTCCCATTTTCCTCCCTGTTTCCCTACCCCTTCCGTGCCACACAATCCACCTCTGATCTGAGAACAGAAAACTATTTTCTTTTTTCCCCCCATGGTAATTTTTCCATGCATCAGTAAGTTAATCAGCACAGAGGGATGGGATAGTCCCTGAGGCTTGTAGATGGTTGGGGCATGGCCAGCAGTAGGGTGGATGTGGGAAGACATCAGGGCCCTTTCTGCCTGCTCCAAAAGGGTGCTATTCATTCTGATAATGCCCTTCCAAGGCACTCTCCTCCCAAAACAAGGATGCCTGCCCTGAGAACATAATGGTACATGGGAACCAAGCTGGATACAGGCCCCTGGGGTAAACTGGGACCAAACAACTCCCTTTGCAAGACACAGTGCAGATTGTGGCAGCAGGAAATACTGGACATCCAGGGAGCCCAGGAGTGGCATCTATAAAAGCATCAAAGCAGATGCATATCACACAAACAGCATCAAGGGTCTAGAGAAAGCTCCTGATTTCCCTATGCTGTTGGGAAAAGCAATAGCTCAGCTCACAAACAGATCTGAGGAGCTTCTTTCCCTGGGGAAGGACATGGCTGTGGAGGCACAAAACACTGCTAGAAAACTGCTGACCTTGCAGACAGACTCACTTGAGCAGTTCAGCACAGAAAAAGGCTCTCTGCTGGATGCCCTCTGAGATGTAACTTGATCCCACAGTACACATCCACTAATCAATCGAGGCATAAAGCAAAGCAGAAAACAGCCTTTTTTTTTTTTTTACTGGAATGAGCCCAAATATGCACAATAACAGATCCCACTCAGCTATTGCAAACTCAAGTACTTGGGAGAGTTTTGCATCTCGCATCGCAGAGGGAGCATACTTCTGCAATAGCATCATTGCTTCTCCAATTGGGTATTTGAGAGACTTCCTAATGACCTCATAGCAGCACATGTGACCACTAAGTCATCTTCTCAAAGGACCAGGAATAACATCAACAGGCCCTGTTTTGGTTGTGCACAGGACAGCTTTCCTCAGCACAAGCAGGTTCCTAAGGAGGGAGCAGAAAGGAGCAAGGACCCAGCTCAGGCCAGAGCTGGCATTGTGATTGTTTCTCCAACAGATTCTGCTTGGCCTTGGAAAAGATCCATCCTATTAAAAGATGAAGACCCATTAGTACATACTAAATTCCACATACAAATTTAGACACAGAAGTTGTGTCTATCTATTGTTTATCCCAATGCAGGCCATATTCGTTGGGTTTAAGGCATCTATATGATAATGTGCATCTCAGAAGCATTCCAAATGCATTTCAAGAGATAACAGGTGAACTCACAAAACACAAAATAATTACCTGAAAGGATTTCCAATTTTTTTTTTTTCTCCCACTGCTTAAAAATAACCCACTATGCTGAGCAGCAAAGAGGAATTAGGAACTTCTGGGTGAGGAACTGCTGAGCTGATCACATTGGGACAGGGAAGTTGCCTTTTGCTGACCCCAAGCACCCTCAGTCAGGTGGCACTGGGAGAAATAAATGAGTGAACACCTGTGATTATGTTAACACTGAGGTGAAAGCAACTACACAAAGAGCTCAAGACAGACTGATGGCCTCTCACCTGAGGAGATCCCTCCTCTGTAGCCAGCACAAAGCTCCTGCAGAGGAAAATGACAAAATCCCACTGTGGAGATGTCAGGAGACCTGCACCAGACAATTTCTCCAGTTACCAACAGTGATATGGGAACACACATCCAAGCAAGAATAAGGAAATCATGAAACAGCGTCTCAGAGCTTCTTCTGCCAGGTCTTTCCTGCAGCAGCAGCACAACAGGTCCTCAGAACCTCCTGTCCCTCCCCAGGGCTCTGCTCCATGGGCCTTACACCCCTTGCCTCCCACCCAGGCCAGCAATATCCCAGGCAGCTCCAGCAGGATGCTGTGAGCACCAACATCTCTTGTCACACAGGACCAGGATATCACCTAAGCGGCCTTGGGCTAAACACAGACACAGTTGAGGAACACAGAACAGCCTCACTACAGAGGCTGGACCTGCACAATGTTCAGGCTTTTTATTCTTTCACTGAGAGGTGGTGAAAGCCAGCTCCAGCCTTCACCTTTCCAGGAACTTTTGATGGAACACAGAAGCCTGCTGCAAAAGTGCTCTGTTTACACCCTGCAGCCCTGTCCTGTCTTTACCCAGTTTGAGTGTGTTCACTCCCACTACCCCATGAAACATCTGCTCAGCCCAGCTCTGCTGGAATCATCCTTCCACTGCAAAGAAATCCAATTCCAGCCATAAACCTGGGAAAAGAGGGAAGTGGGGCAGAGTTTGGCATGATGAGGAAGGCAAGTTTGAGATGTGACATCTTCCAAGAAATACTGACAAGCCGTCTCCACATACCAGGTGCTGCCTAGAGCTGCTCTGCAGGGTAACAGAAGGATTAGAGCTGACAAGATAGAGCTTGTGGTGACATTACAGACACCTGATATGGGACACACCCTTCCCAAGGGGTGCAAAACAAGGGTTGCAAGGGCAGTATTTACCTTCCACCACATTCCCCCCATCCTGTGCCAAGGAAGCTTTTCCTGCTCTGAAGGGAGATGATCAGAATCCTCAAGAGAGGAAGTACCAGAATAGAGTTTCTTTGCCTCTCAGTCACTTCCCAAATCACCAGGACAACCTCTGGCCCAGCCATAGGACAGATACATCCTCCTGTCCCCAAACTGATAAATTTCTGCAGCTTGCCAAGCTCCCTCTTTCTGGGCACACAGGAGCTGATCAGCAAAGCCCTGTCCTGCTGGGACATGGGAGCAGAGACCTCAGCACCCCCTTGCCACCACAGCTCCCTCTCCCAGGAGTCAGAATGACTGAGGAGGTGACAACAGAGGAACAACGACTCTTCCCCAGCTCAAAAATCTCTCTCAGAGCTTTCATATTACCAGGAAAGATCCAAACGGGAGCAGCCTCCCATTTGCACTCTGTCTAAGCAACAGGGCCCACCATGGGCTGCCTCAAAGGTGAGGCTGAAGTGGGGTAACCCCAGGTCAGAAGCAGGGCAGTGAGCTCGGCTCAGCTTCAGTTGCTGCAATGACAGAGGCTCAGAGAACACGTCATCCACGAGGACTGAGCTGCTGGCACAGAGCAGTGCTCAGCAAGGCACTTGTAAACACTCTCCCTGGCCATTGTCACTGACGCAACGAGAAAGGGGCAGAGAAAACCATTATCTGCAAACAGACACCCCTCCCTATCCCTGGACACCAAGACCAGCCCAAGCAGGACATCTCCAGCCTTTCTCTTGTCTGTCTGTTGAGCCAAAAACCCTCTGGTGTCCTGCTGCAGATGAGGATCACTGCCACATCGAGGAAGGGCTCAACTCCCACAAGCCAGAAAACCTCTGCTCTGAGGTTTGGACCTCTAAGCCCTGAAAGCAGTTGGTATATTCAGCAGGCACATGGCCTCTTTCACAGCTGGCCTTTCTTCTTGAAGCACTATCTAGTAGTATCTAATATCTTGAGCATTATCCTTCACATTATCCTTCCTCCCCACCATGGCAGCAGGCAGCTCTTTCTGCCCATCATTCCTGTCAGGAGTTTGGAGCAAGGAGATGGTGTAAGGTGTTCTGACAAGCAGAGCTACACAGTCCTGTGACTGCTGGGGACAAAGTCCTGCTGTCTCACAGTGATACTTCCTCACATCTCTTCCTCTCTCCCAGAAGTTTCCCAGATAAATCTATGTTGGCATATCACATCTCAAAACTACAAGCTGTGGGGATATCAGGAGACCAATATCTGAGTAGTGATTCCACATCCAGCTCAAAGAAAAGCCAATCAGCATTCTTCACCAGAGATTTTATTGCAGACACATGGAAAACAACAGCAGAAAAACCAAAGCAAACCATAAGCACTGGCTGTAAGCTTCATCAAGGAGGAGCAGCGAGAGGGAAGGGAGAGATTCAGCACCAGCCATGGGATTTCCCAGCAGGGGACACCAACCCAACAGAACCATGGAATGGGCAGAGCTCAGCTTGTGGCAGCAATGCCACTACAGCTCCTCCCCCTGCAGCACACAGAGACAAACCTCTGCAAAAATACATGGTGCATGGAAAAACTGGTGGTAACAAAAGAGCTGTCAGCTAACGTCAGCCTGTCACTGATGCCCCCGAAGCCCTTTACAGCTGCTGCTCCAGGACCCTCTGGCCCTATAACCCCAAACCTGACCTCTGCACTTTGGACTGGAGCGAGCACATGGAGAGCAGCTGGCAACAGTGATCCCCACATTTCTGTGATTCCTCAGCAAGGACCTTCATCTTCAAATAACCAGAGCACACATAAGCCCATGCTCCCACAGTCCTTTTGGCTGCCCCTTCTGGCATGGAAACAAAAGGCAAGAGCAGTTCAGATGTGCAAGATACCAAAGGGC